GGCGGTAAACTAGTTTATCTTATATACTTTAGTACCTCACCACAGTTCTCTATAAATCGTCAGAACCCACATTTTGTCCATTAAGGCAGGCTATATTAGATGCTTGACTCTTGGTCTATGGTGTGAACGTAAGTTGTAGGGTTATCCAACTAACCTATATGGGTAATTAAAATGGTGTTTCTAGTTGCGGTCACCCCTAAAAAGGATAGGTACATACTAATTTCAGCACCCCTAAAAAGGTTACATACTGATCAACAAAAAGTTTCATATTCATAATATTATAATTATTATGCTACGCTATCGTATTTGCTAAAGTTGATACCAATCAACATTTTCCTTCCCATTTATATCGAAAAGATAACTTGGGCGCCTACAGTGTAGGTCCTATACTCTTATTTATAGGGTAGGTCGTAGGTATGGTTAAAAATGTTGATAGGTACTTGGTTTATGTTTAGATTAAGTGGTTAGACTTGTGTCAGATAATATTTTATCATGCAATTGAATGTTGTATAATACTGTTTAAAACTTAACATTTTGTAGGTACAAATTTGAAAGAAATCAACTTCAGATATCCAAGTCGATTAATTTTACCCTCTTCATAAAAGCGAATGCGTTGGTCTAGAAAATCTTCTTTCGCCCTCGAAATCTTATTAGCACGAGTTTTTGAACAGTTTATTTTCAAATACCTATAGTTACTAGTTTTGATTTCATTTAAATTTTAAGGCTTCGAGAAAAGTAAAAATAATAGGGCGAGAGTGGTAGAACATGGTATATATTGAACATAATATTAATTTTGCCTGGAATTCGGGCATTTTAACGCCGAGACCGCAACTCAGACATTACCATGATAATGCCTTCAATTGGCGTGACCACAACTGTAATAATATCTACTTACCTCAAAAATCGTCGTGACCGCAACTAGTATGCAGCCAATTATAACAAGACGTGTAGACGTATAATCACTCCCTACGCCTACCCGTCTCCGGTGGTTAAATTTTTATTCTGATTTTCTTGCTCCGTTATGTTTGCCTCGTTTGTAGAGATTCAATTTGAAGTTCTGATATTAAGTATGCGTGTTGTTTGGCAGCTGTGACCTTCGCCCGCCGTCGGTCAGTTCTTGGAAAAGTTTGTAAAAAAGAGTTAATGGGACTACAGTTTCACATCGAATTTGAAATCTTATCCATCTAATCATGAATATAATTGTCAATTAACTTTTCGTTCGAATATTTAACGGATTTTTAATGGAGTCTCTTTACCTTTTATAAAGTATGCACCTACTCTGCGGTGGCGTAGCCCCCTTGACTGTATCCACCTCCCCCCCGGAAATTAAAAATGATTTCTATGGTCAATGAAAGTTATTGAAAATGCAAATTTGTATAGCCGTAAAACAATCGAAACTTAAGATCAGTAGCTACCCTAAACTTATAGAAGAGTGTAGTTAAACCAATTCTGTGTAAACACATTATCAACAACATTATCGTACAGCAAAATATAATCTTAAAAGATACACATGACACATCTATAGGTACCTATTAGTTATTACAGAAATTATGCAATGGATACATACATATAAGTATATTATACCAATACTCTCTTGTGAGTAAATTAATACCTAACCCTCTTTAATTCTTAGGAAATTGGAGGTTGGAGACTGGAGTACTTTTTCCAAAAATTCGTGACACAATCCTACGACACAGTAATAGTAATACAGTCGTTCGTAGATGTATTATCATGTTGCCGTGCCAACCATATTAAACAGTAAACACAAGACTGTGCACTGTGTACAAACATTGCAGCCATTATAAAACTTGTATATTTTGAATGTTATAATCTAACACAATTTCGCAATCACAATATCTAAATTACAATCATCGATGGAAAATTATAAAATCTTGGAACGGATCGGGGAAGGAACACACGGACAGGTGGTTCAAGCCATGGAACGGTCTACTGGTAAAATAGTCGCTATTAAGTGCGTACGGTCGTCGGATAAGGCGTCTAAGAACCTGCTGCGAGAAATCGAATCACTGAAAGCGTTGGATTCCGACTACGTTTGTTATATAAATACTAAGAACCAGCTAATAGTTAATTGGTGCGGGTGGTGATTGGTCGAGCAGGGCTCGGTAGTCCCTTGAATTAATTACGAGTTTCCTAGGACCTAGACAATTTCACTATTGTTATGGGCTTATGGCCATAATAACTTCGAAAAACGTTTTGTTATTTCAGAATTGAATTCTATGTTTTGTTTAATTCACACAACATTAATAATATAAAATAAATTTATAATACTTATGTAAAATAAGGGGACAAGGATATTTAAAACATTGATAATTGAGCATATGCGAGGTGAAGGGTATTTGTTTGCCCCCTACCCTTGAAGTTCGACTAAATCCAGGCACATAATTTAGGCGGACGGTAGGAGCGATCGCCTCCCTCCTCAAAAGCCGTATTGTACTATTGTAGTAACTAATGATTAATATAAAAAAAAAATTATTTTGATTATGAATTTATGTTGATCGCCCTCCTCCCTCCTCCCCCCTCCCCCCAAAAAGCACCAATATGTACGCGCTTGACTAAATCTCCGTTTAAGTGGCAATATGTACTTTAGGTGGAGCTACAAAATAGGCACCTAAACTATTTGCCGTTTTTCAGGTCGTAAAACTGTTGGATCATTTCTGCCACAGTTTCAGTTTCTATTTGGTACTCGAATTCGTGGCGTCTGGCTTGCCAGAGATGTTGTACGACGACGACGTTTGGCTAGACGATTCTCATCTGAAAACATACGCTCATATGCTCTTAGCCGGTGTAGTGCATATGCATTCCACAAACATCGTGCACAGGGTAATAGACAAAAGGAAAAGTCACGGAAAAAATATATAATTTTTTCCAGTATTTTTTTATCTATGTGTTAGCTTATTTTTATTAGAATTAAAAATTCCCACTGTAAAAATCTATATTATATAGGTATCATCGAAATCTGAACTCTGAAGAATACTTCAACACCGAAAAGTGGAGATATAAATGTGTAAGACTGAGAGTATTTTATATAGGTCGTCGTAATTGTTTATATCTTAGCCTTAGGTAAATTTAAAAAGGTTCTAAAGGAATTTCTTCATCAAAATGCCAACATATCCCATAAATTTAATAAAAATAACATGATATTTTGTAGATAAACTTATCTTAAGATCAATTTAATTTTGTCTCACGCTTTACATTGTCTGTATATAGCCATACAGGTAATATACGTAGGTATTGAATATTTTTTAAACTTAAAATAGTAAAAATTCTATTTATTATTTCTAAAACTATAAATATTTTCTTTAAATAAAAAAAAATAAAAACTTAACAAACGTTTTCCTCTAGATTCCGTGCACAGACTTTGTTCTGATCAATGATCATTATTATATACCTGTGTTTATTAGGATCTGAAACCGGCAAATTTACTGATAAGTTCCGAGGGCGTGTTGAAAATAGCGGATTTCAGCTTGAGTCGTCTGCTGCTGACGACCACTGCTGCCGACGATGATCAACGCAGTCAATGTTACACGGGCCAAGTAGCGACTCGCCGGTACCGAGCCCCTGAACTCTTGTTCGGCTCTGTTCACTACGACCAGTCAATCGATATGTGGTCAGTCGGTTGCATTTTAGCAGAGATGCAAATGAAAACTCCTTTATTCGCGGTTAGAAGATTTGTCTGTTTTTTCAAAACATTACAAACTGCAATGCTCACTCAGCAGTCAGCACTTACCTTCAGCTTGTATCGGGGTTATTGTGAATCCAACACCTTGAGAATTCTTCGAGATGTGCATTTTTAAAATTTTTTTAATACCTACATTTTTCTTATCGATGATGTAATGTTGATGAGGACAATTTTGCTTTTGATTTTGTACCTCGATATCATTTTTCAAATTACTTAACTCTTCATGCTTCTGTTTGCAAAACGTAAAATACTATTAACAGTTATTAAAATTTTAGGGAGATTCTGACATGGAACAGATTGCCATCGTTGTTCATAATTTAGGTACTCCAACTGATGAGACATGGCCAAATAGGAATGAAATGCCAGATTACAATAAATTGAACTTTACACACTGTAATCCAGTACCAATAAATGTATTGTTGCCCGATATTGATGAATTGTTGGTCAATCTAGTGGGAAAATTAATTTTATACAATGCCAATAAAAGATTGAATGCACAAGAGGTACTTAACGTTAACAATTATTTTTGTTCATTCTAATTACTATTTTAGTATAAAAACCGTTATATTTGAACAAATAAAGGATTTTGTAAAACAAAATGCCTATTTCATTAAATTATATGTACCATGGCAAATTAACAATTTAAATACTAATATAATTTTTTTTTTTCTAGGCATTACTGCATCCTTATTTCTTTAATAAACCATTGCCGTGCTTAGAACATCTAATGCCAAAACCATCAAAAGATCATAGACAAAAACTTGTACCCAAACCAACTAAAGTAATTGAAAGTTTGGAAAAAAATTTTAGTTGTTTATACCAAATACTTGATGAGACGTTGTAAATTTGTAATTACCTATATAATATTTTTTTGGAAAATAAAATTAATAATTCATGATAATTGACAAATGTATTAAATTTCATTGAATTAATATATTAAAACTAAAAAAAAAAAACATTGTTTCAGAGTAGTTATTATTTTATTATTACACATTAGAAAAATATAAATGCAAATTATTTATTAAAGTATAGAAAGAAATTAGAAAACTTAAAATAAAATGGTTAATAATAATAAATAAACACTTCTGAAAAAAAATAAATATAATAAACTTTTCATTGATTGAAATCTATGATATTGGCAAAACCATAAATCTAATTGTTATTTAATAATTTAATAATAATAGGACACCATATTTTATCTGTGAGTGCAAATTTTTCATTTTTAGATTTTACTTCATTAAAAAAAAATATATCTATTTGTTAATTAACAATTCTAAAATAAATAAATAAAAATAAATAGTCAAATAGATAAATATAATATATTTTAATAATTATAGTAGACTCTTAATATGTAGTACCAGATTAAATGGGTGTTACATTCCAGATTTTAGTATTGCAGTCTTGTCCAACCGACACTATAGTTTCATCGTCCAACCACAGTACACGTGTAATTTGACTTTGTGGATGAGCATCTTGAATAAAAAAAAATATATACATATATATATATTTATCATCTTATTTAACAAAATCACAACTTGATGTGAACTAAAAGCTTTAATACTGACTTTTTATTATTGTATGTTTGTTTGGGGAAGTAACGCTCCACACAATGATAGTAGTGTCCAAACTTCCACTGGCTACTTGTTTTGAATTTGGTGACCAGGCTACACTGTTAACACGTGCATTATGGAAGCCCCAATCTTGTTTATGGGCCAGCTAAAGTACAAAAAAAAACAAGTACAAAATTACTGAAAGTCAACTAAAAAACAGTATTATATTATATTTCTTACCGACTATCCAACAGTAAAATAAACAATAAAATCAAAATAAATAAAATAGTGGTTGTTTCAGATTTAAGGAATTCACTTTACTTACATTGAATTCAGGCACTTTATATAAAATGACTTTTCTGTGTGCATCACTTGCTACCAAGTACTCTCCATCTGGTGAAAATGAACAGTCTGTAATTGGTCCTAAGTGATCACACTCCGCGACAAATTCCAATGTGTAAGTGGATTCATTAATTTTGTATACGTGTACCTAAGATTACTTATCAATTAAACCATGACGACCATTATGTGTAGTGTATGTGATTTGATGTTGTTATGTACACTTACTTTATTATCCAAAGCTCCACCGACCGCAACATAACCAGCACCTGGACTAAGAGCTACAGCAGAAGGTTCATAGTCCACGGGCAAATTAAATACTTTTTTTTCGTTTTTTAATACTATTATCTAATATATAAAATGTTTATATTATAAATACTATTATTATGCTCATTAAATATGTTCTGTATAACCTCTTTAATCGTAACCGTGACAATCACATTGCTGTTAAAGTCCATTCCCCTTGGTTGAGCATTTAGTTTGACTTGCAAGTCTGTGTATGAATTGGATTTAATGTCAACTTGCCTAAGACTGTCATCAATTCCACATGTATACAAGTAATCACTATCCAATTTCATTCCATTTATTTGATTTCCATGACCAACACCTTTTACTCTGTCATTTTCACCTAATTGTATTTAACAGTTATTACTTATTAATAATAATTATATTTATCTCAACTGGAAGAAATAACAAAATAAAACTTTTCAAACAATGATTATAATTCTTCAAAATTTAAAAAAGTTATACTCAATATTTACCATTTGCGGCATTCCAGTTTGTGATATTGCCATCATGGGAACCAGTATAAATTGTACTACGATCAGGACTTAATGCCAATACTGTAATTGGTTTATTATGACCCTAAATAATTATGATAAGTGTATTTATTTTATTTTATCTTAAATCAATGATTGCTGAGCTACATTATGTAGTATATTATTTTTAATTTACTCCATTAAATTAAAAATATTTTCATTATAATATATATAAAAAAATAATCTTAATATAATACTGTATGAAAATTAATGATGTTCAATAAAAAAAGTAAAATGGTTAATATTTTAACTTTTGAATATAATTTATTTTAGATATTGTAAATATTCAAGGCAATCATTATACTTGTATAGTACAAATTATAATTCCAATTAATAAAAAAACTTCCAATGTCTTGAACATTTTTTATGGAAAATTACTACCTTTAAAAATTATAAATGATAATTTTAATTACCTTGATGATTCGTATGGGTTTCTCAGGATTGTTAACATCTAGGTAAGTAATAAAGCCATTAAGAGAGACGGTTAACAAATAATTTCCTTGCCACAAACAAGAAACCTATTCAAATAATATACACAAAATTATTACCTTAATAAATAATAAATAATTTAATAAAAAAATATCAAACCTGTTGATCCTCTACTTGATTTCCTATCACAAATTCACTAACAACAGATTTTGTTTCTACATCCCACAGCTTACAAGTCTTATCACCAGAAGACGTTAATAGACGTGTACTGTCAGCACTCCAAGCAACCTAATATTTTTCAATGTTACGAACAAAATATTAATTAAATATATATTTTTTTTAATGTTGATATTTTCTTACTCCATAAACTCCTCCTTTATGTGCTGGACTACCAATTTCAGATACAAGATCAGCATTAGTACCTTCATACAAGAACACTTTACCGTCAAAACCTGCTGATGCAAAGAAATTACCATTGGGTGAGAAACGTACTGCCTGAACAAATCTTGAGTGTTCCTGTAAAGTACAGAGTTGAAGAATTAGGTACCTAGGTCAACTTTATTCCTATAAAATAAAATAAATCAAGTCAAGTAAAGATAAAATTTACTTGTTTGGTCATCTTGAACTTGAATGGGGGACCTTCAAAAACACCAACTGTGTTGTCTTCACTACCAGTCACTATTCTAAATGGACGACTAGGCCGAAAATCACATGAATTAATTGGTTTAGACTGACCCGTAATTTCACCAACTGAAGTACCAGTTTCTGACATAAATACATGACCAAACCTAAAGAAATAAAACATACTCAAATGAATACTATACAAAAATCCATAAAAGCATAAAAACTTAAATGATCCCTTTTACCTCTCTCGGCCTTCACCAACAACCACCATCCGTTGATTGTCTGGAGACCAAGAAATATCTTTAATTGGCCCACCAAATGGATGGAACTCATTTTTTAATATGTGTTCTTTATTTACAGTATCCCAAATCCTTACTTTGCCAGATTGATCTGTAATTATTACGTTTTATCAGTCAAATGTTTTATTTTTTTGAATCTATTTGATCTCATACCACCAGATGCAATGTAAAATCCACTTGGGGAATACTTAGCGACATTTACAGCACAGGAATGTTCGGTGTACACATCCGATATAGCCGGGTTCTTAACAATAAGTGAAAAAAAAAACAAAACATACATAAATTAACCGTTTATTAATAATAAACAAAATACACAGGCTCACCTCAATGTCACGTATAATGACACTGTTACCGTTTGTGTAGAGAAAATTTTTTCCCTTAGGATCGCCACCCAATACAATCGGCTGCCCTCTTTGCGTACGTGGTAGTGTTGAGTAAATGTACTCTATAATCAAATGATAAAATTACATTTCGTTCACTTGTTACCGAAAAGTTATCGATTACGATGACGATATGTGCAGATGACTCACTGTTAGAATAGGACATTGTGTATAATGATACTGTAGTAGGTAAAAATGAAGCACTAATAATTAATAAATCACTAAATTATAAAATGACACCGATTTTTGGTGTAATGGATCTATTACGTGAAAATGAGGACACAAAATAATAATACTAAAAGTATATAAATACGAGACGGCGGGACTGCTGGTTGTTCGTAAGCTATTTTAGTGAGTAAAATGTAAATGTAAAGTATTTTTTCTCGCACAGGCCACAGACTACAGAAACCTGATATGTCTGAACTCTGAATACTGATGATAAGCATATTATTATTATAAAGATAACTGTACCGAGTCGACCAGGATTACCATATAAGGAATAGCAAATAATTTATTTCGTGTAATTTTAAAACGATGATAAATTATTATTGTTTGTCACTACGACCATAATTCAATGGCTGCAAAGGACATAATTTTACGGGGTCTGTCTTAGAGTGGAGAAAGTCGAATTGGACCCATATTTTTAGTATTGGAAGCGCATGTGCACAACTGAATCGTTCCAGAGGTTGTAACACATTAATTTATTTCTTATCATGCGATGTTTACATAACGGCACAACAATAAATACACGCAAGTTAACTTGTTACATAGAATACTATACATAGAATAGTATTCTATGCTTGTTAACTATTCTTATCACAAGCGGCGCCGAGGCGGTCGACCCGGAATACCGGATATATATAGTAGTACATACGGGATGGTCGATGCTTTATATTAAATATTAATTAATATTATATTATTAGTTATTACTTATTACTTATTACCTATCGGCTGTCAAGATTCTAAACTTCCAAATTCCAACTGACGAATAATAATTTATACAATAGTATACTAGATTACTAATTAATACATTTTTTAAATCGTTGTTTAATTTTTTTTATTTCTATTAAAAAAATATAGTCTTACCTCAAAGTAAGTGCTAGTTTTTCTTTTGTAGATATTGGCTCAGGTACATGTAATGTTGGTTTCTTTGTTATTTCTTCTTGAACCAAAGGTAAAATAAAATTGAACTGTTCACGATTTAGACAAAGAAATTCCCGAAATTTTTCATCGTCGTTAATAAGATGTCCACCAACCAATTTTTTAAAGAATCCTTCAGAGTTCCTCGTGGAAAACGAACTGTTGAAAGGTTTTCTTTTTTATTGGCATTAAATTCAAAGTAACTCAGTTTCAATTTCTTCATCGCGAAGCAACAATTCACAAATATTGATATTATTAATAAAACTGTTCAAAATAAAATTTTGATTCATTTTGAAAAATTAAAAAAATTGAACTTTTATGTTGAAACACTTGAAACTACGTGCGGAGAGGACAACGGTCGCAGTGGTTGTGATTTAATTTTTTTAAATCAAACCCAAAGAGTGGGATAAAATAGTAAAATTTACGCCGCGCCGCAAGGAAACCGTACCTTAACATGCAATGGCCTACGGTAGTAGCAAAATGTAATTGAAAAATAGTTTTAAGAACAAAACTATTAAATGTATATCGTTAAGTAGATACTATTTTTAAATACTCTTGAATTCTAAAGAATATTTCTGAATTTCGACACCGGTTGTCTCAGGCGTCTTACGAACTCTCAATTCGATTGCGTAAATGGCATATTTATGTTAAATCTATATCGATAGATCTGTGATCTATAACGAGTTGTTAGTTACCAAATCGTAGAATGTTCCATTATAAGTTTATTTTCGATATTTTAATTTTAAAATGAGTATAAAGTTTTTAATATTACAAATAAACAACAAAATGAATTAATCAATGTACAATGTTGATATTGCATGTATATTTGTGTTACAAATTAGCGAGACGTTTCCATAATAAGAATAGAAATTATTTTATAATGTGATGGTAATAACTAAAAATAAATCAGATGTTTTACTTGAAAGAAATAATATATAATTGCTAAAAGTTACAAATATATTGCTTATTTTAATAACTATCAAACAATAAGTACTATTATTAGATCATTTAGTTGAATACAATATTGTGATGCTTAACAGTTATTATTATACAGATCAAAAGATTTAGAAACATTGGGTTCATAAATCGAAACAATATAAGTAATCAGATCTTAAATACTTATAAATAAGCATGTAGCAATAAATGATTTTTATTGAGTTTTTTCTAAGCTATAAATGATTATTTGATTCTAATAATCATGTTAAACAATCTATCTTAGCTTACAATTTATTTTTCATTGTACTGACTTAACTATGAATTTTATATTTATTGGAAGCACTTGATACTTATAAATTAGTCATTATATTTTATTTTTATGAATAAATTACAAAATCAAGCAGAAAAGTATATCATTGAATATTTGTTGTTTGAAAAAATAAGATACTAATCAGACAATTATTATGTTAACAAATATCTGTTGGTAAAAACAAAATAATATTAAAATATTTTTAAAAACAAGATCATCATAAGGTGTTTGGATTTCAAAATAAAAATATAGGATATATGTTGACATTTCTGTTCTTATTTGGACCTGTTGGGAAAAATAAATATTTTCTCTCAATACATAATTTGTTTTGCCATATTAGCAGTATGTAATACTACCACATTATATACTTTTCAACTATCCAGTATAATTAAATTATTTCAAAGTTCTAACACACCAAATTTCAGTATCTCACATTTTAGTATACTGTGATTATGTGCACCCTATTGAACAATACTGACTTTTTATAATTATTTTCATAATAAACAGATAAACCTAATGAGTATATTTTTAAAGATACTATCAGTATATGAGATTGTTATTTCAAAGTCCTTTATTGGAGTATACGACAGCTGGTGGGTTCTTGCAGTTGCTCACTATGTCACAGTATGCAGTATTCTCGTATTTCTCCAATGTACTTAATTTAATGGAGCTGAAATAAGATATAACGGTTGAACATAAAACACATTAATACATTTTAACTATATACCTGAACTGAGGAAACAAGGCACAGGCAGTTGGCACCATACCAATCAGACTGAAAATAAAAAATCAATGTTTATTCAAATTTGCATGTTCCGACAAGTATGATTATATAAAAATTTGATTAGCTTCTATAGATGTTTATATGTACAAATATAATACTTACAAACAACCAACAGCTAGTGTTTGGAATGGAGCATGGATCCATGTATTTCGCTTGAACCATGTACTTTTGTTTTCAAGTTTTTCCATTATGACAGGTAGCAATACTATAAATAATGATAAGAAATACATAAATATACTACAATTTAATACATTTTTAAAATTATTATTATTTCTTGAATTACCCATTCCAGGTGCACACATAACAATTCTTGATACTATTACTTGAGATATTCCTTTAGCTGCAGCTAACTAAAATTAACATACATTTTAAAATTATATTTTGATAATACATACATAAATATTATTTTAGGGTCAAATATGTTACCTTAGAACATCCAACTCTATTTTTATCAGCATCATAAACATCTACACCTTTTAATAATTCAGTCTGGCGCATTAATGGTATGTTCACACAATTGGCTGCTGCAACCGCGGCAAATGGAACATATCTCTAAAATATTGATCAAATTAGGAACATTTCTTTGCTCTAACAAATCATTGATAGCTTACTTGAAAAAAGGGTGAAGCATTGTTTGTCAGGTATTGTTTGAATTTTATAGATGTCACACAAGCAGCTATTGTTGCTGAACCGTACGCTGTGCCCATTTGAGTTTGGCTCAAGGGAGAGTTAGCATTTCGATTGGTATAGTTGACTAAAGCATTGAATGACTGATTAATCCATTGCCAAAACACCACAGCCGGCACAGTTCTAGTAAAGTAACAAAGTAAAATTAACATTTACAACCTGTACTACCTGATATTGCTTGATTTCAATAATGTCATACTTATAAAAAGACAACATTGCTCCAGTAATAGCCATACCCCCGGGGACCTGAAAGCACATTCGACCAAATACATTTTGTTTTTGTCCAGTATCTGGGTGAAATGAACTTTCATAGATCTGTTTAGCAGCTAACAATTGTTCAGTAGTTGTCCCAGGTGGAAGTGTACCATTTCTGTATAAATGTGAAACATTTCAAATTCAATTCAAGTTTTAAAATGTCTCATAAGTCATAAATTATACAATACTATTATTATTTATTACTACTTACAGATAGGATGAACGTAAAGACTTGGCTTCTTCAAGCTCTTTATCGGTTTTCAAGCATAGCATAGGGTTTGTGACCCAAAAGTAATAATGCCACCGTCCTATGTAAGTACTCTGATCCCAAGGACATTTTTCCATTTCGAATGGTTTGTTCATTGTATTATGTATATATTTTCTTGATTAAATATTGCTGAGAAATAAAAAAAAACAGCATTACTCTTCATTCATTTTTTGAAAAGAATAAAAAATTCTTAATCTTTTTTATTAAGCAATTACAAAAAATGCGACTAAACTATAAATAACAAACAAAACAAAAAATCAGAGTATCAGACTATCAAAGTCAACAACTGTTAACTGTTGTCTAAAAATGTTTAAAATAAAACTGTGTAGGTCGGTATGACGTGTATTTTAACATATTATTTACAAGTAAAAACGTCCTAAACTATAATTAACGTCGATTGTTTTAGACTACTAGAATAATAATCATAATTGCACGTTATCGTTATGTATTGTATGTTAATAAATATTAATGACGAGTCCTTAACGTACGGTTTGGCTAAAAACAAGTTAATATAAAAAAAGTGGTCGAATTGTTCAAATTAACATGACGAGGTGAAAATATTATGTTATTAAAATGTATAATCCCGGACCAATAGACAATGAATAACCAGGGACTCGACCAATTGGAACCGTAAATGGCTAGATCAATGACCTAAATGATAAAATAATCATTGAACTGACCAAGAAATAACTAATAAGAAAAGCGGCTATAATGGCCTATAGATTTTTCATGGGTGAGTAGCTGGTGACACTGTGACAGCAAGCTGCAGTCATCGCAAGTCGTACATTATTATTATTATTATTACCTTTGACAAATATTATTTATGACTGTTCGGTTCCCCTGAATACTGTTTTCCGAATCGCACGTCTCCTCACTGCTAATAACTATTTATAACAATTTTCTTTCTTATGTATTATTTACAAATAGACTCGTGAGTCGTGACAGCAATAGTACGCCAGTCGTATCGTACATTCGTACCGCCGGGCCGTCACGTCTATAATCTATATCATAAAAAAATTATAGACAACAAGTCACAAACAAGCGTGATTGTATTCCGGTTCTCTTCCGATGTATACCCGGTAGTTGGTAGCCGATAACAAAAAAATATTGATAAAAGCTTGATAATTTATTTTGCTTCGTGGAGGAATAAATGCGACAAACCGGGTAGTGGGTACTAGGCCATTAGATCCAACCACGATTTAATTTAGTATTAATTATGTATCCATTTTCAGGATTCAGGATTTGAGAGATTCTATACATAATAGTAGAATCAGGGGCGGGCTGGAGGGCTCAATTTGTACGCTACTATTTCAACTTTTCAAAGGCTACCGTAGCTAACTCAGACTGAAGATAAACTCAAATGGAGTAAGCTTGTATGGAGAAAAGATCCACTACATACATTTAAACATTTTGCAGATGATATTACTTTACTATTACTTTTAGTGTCTGAATCGGAAAAAGATATGCAAAAATCTCTAACTACCCTCACCAAAATATTACAGGAATATTAAATGAAAATAAATGCAAATAAAACAAAACAATGATAGTGAGTGGTGACTAGGGCAAAAGAAATTCCTTTATCGAAGTTGGTGGTAAACTATATAACTTAATATAGCAAGTCCAACAATTTGAGTATCCAGGAAGTACGATTACGAGCGATGGTAAATGCTCAATAGAAATCAGACAAAGAATAGCTATGGCAAAGAGAGCATTTACACAAAAACGGCAGCTACTTACAAACAAAAAACTTATAATATGAGAAAAATGTTTGCCAAATGCTATGTGTGGAGCGTATTATTATATGGCTGTGAAACATGGATCATTAATGTGCAAGACAAGAAGAAATTGAAAGCCATGGATATGTGGACACGGAGAAGATTTTTAAAAGTCAGCTGGCCCGAAAGGAAAAGTAACACAAAGATATAAAACCAAGTAAGGGAAAAAAGAATTCTATTAAACACCATAAAAGAAAGAAGTGGAAAAATATTTGGTCACCTACTAGTTATTATTATTACTACTTAAATATTAGGCATAAATGCATAATTCGTTTATGACAAATATATTTGAAGGACGAATAANATTTTCTAGGAACAGCTTTGCCTTTGTTTTTATTTGCCAAATTTATTATCAAATCTTTATTCTTACCTGCAATTATTAAGGCAGACAAATTATACATAATTATAATTGTGAAGAATGTCTGCATTTGCTGCTGTTAAAAATTACCAAAACTATCCATGAGTATTTCTACTGAGTCTTCATTAAGTAAATTTTTTTTTTTCAAAACAGTAACAACTTGTTTTAATGAACTAATTTTCTTTTTTTGTCGGCTAATTTTTTGACGAAGAACTTTGATTTTTTTTGATTTTAATTCATTGGTAATTGATAAATTAAACAAAGCTTTTTTTAGACGCAGTTTTTTTGGTGTATCATCATCAGTAGATTTGCTCATATCCAAATATGATCTTTTAGACTTGTGCTTAAACAAAGATGTAATAATAGTTAGTAAAATAATAACTAAGTATAAAGTATCTAATATACTGCCCACTCCAGTTTATACATACAGGTGTAATAATATTTTCTGTTGAACTGATTTGCTTTTCGTCAAGAACAGGTTCGATTTGTTGAACAGTAATTTTATCAATATCTTCAATAATACAATCATCAAGTTGCATACTTGAGATATCTGAACATTGCTACAGCAAAAATGTACATTATTCATATTTATTCAAATTATATAAAGATGTTATAGACAATAGTGTTACGACCCACACCGTGTTCGATAATATTGTGGATTATTATTCCTACGTGAATTATCTAGTCCTCGAGATCGTCTGCACATACCCGCCCCTCGATAAGTAATATACTGATGTTACTATACTTACAGGAGTAGCATTTTCATGTGAATTAGTCTCATTTACACAAGATACAAACTCTTCAGGATAAATATTTTTCGCCTAAATTTAAGTGTATATAAAGTGTATATAAAAAATCAACAAATATGATTTATATAAAATTTTTTGTAAAACTTACACTCTTCACTCTTTTAATATAAATCGAAGGAATAGCAAAAGGCTTTAAATGTATGCTTCTAGCGTATTTATCAAAACAATGCGCATCAAAATGTAAAGAACAAACAACAGATTTTGGTTTGATTGAACCAACATTAATGTTGCACTTGTTCTGGATAAAATTTAACCACTCTTCTCTGACATTACTCTGTGGAATTCTAAAAAAATAAAATATTTTTATTATGTTATTAAACAGTCAATGAACCTATAAGTAAGGAATTTAGAAACAAATTTACGGATCAACAAGTTCTTATTGAACTACAATTTAATTCAAGACTTTAAAAAGTGACGAGATTAATATTTTTTAACGTAAAGTTTAGTTAGGTAACTCCATTACCATTAGATCAATAGAAGTACTAACCGGTGAAATGTAATATTGTCGTTTTCTTTTTTTTGTTTCTGAGTCCGAGCGCACAAAATACAGCTGACCATTATGATTTAAGGTTACTTACAAGTTACAATTACTTAAAATTACTTAATTACAATAATTGTACAAAATACAGTTAAAAATTATAATTTTTAAAGCTAATCAAACAGCTGCTTATCATTACCAACCATAATTTTTATACTATATTTTTCTGTGATAATATAATGTCCATTATCCATTTAATTTCATGGTCGACAACGCCATCTAGTGTTCACTAGAGTTGTAAGAGGGGTACAATGGTGTTCAATTTTGCTTCGATCTGATAATCATAATACCTGCATAATGCCTCCTCTTTAGTTTTATTACTCTATGCGTGACAGCAATAGTACGCCAGTCGTATCGTACATTCGTACCGCCGGGCCGTCACGTCTATAATCTATATCATAAAAAAAATTATAGACAACAAGTCACAAACAAGCGTGATTGTATTCCGGTTCTCTTCCGATGTATACCCGGTAGTTGGTAGCCGATAACAAAAAAATATTGATAAAAGCTTGATAATTTATTTTGCTTCGTGGAGGAATAAATGCGACAAACCGGGTACTAGGCCATTAGATCCAACCACGATTTAATTTAGTATTAATTATGTATCCATTTTCAGGATTCAGGATTTGAGAGATTCTATACATAATAGTAGAATCAGGGGCGGGCTGGAGGGCTCAATTTGTACGCTACTATTTCAACTTTTCAAAGGCTACCGTAGCTAACTCAGACTGAAGATAAACTCAAATGGAGTAAGCTTGTATGGAGAAAAGATCCACTACATACATTTAAACATTTTGCAGATGATATTACTTTACTATTACTTTTAGTGTCTGAATCGGAAAAAGATATGCAAAAATCTCTAACTACCCTCACCAAAATATTACAGGAATATTAAATGAAAATAAATGCAAATAAAACAAAACAATGATAGTGAGTGGTGACTAGGGCAAAAGAAATTCCTTTATCGAAGTTGGTGGTAAACTATATAACTTAATATAGCAAGTCCAACAATTTGAGTATCCAGGAAGTACGATTACGAGCGATGGTAAATGCTCAATAGAAATCAGACAAAGAATAGCTATGGCAAAGAGAGCATTTACACAAAAACGGCAGCTACTTACAAACAAAAAACTTATAATATGAGAAAAATGTTTGCCAAATGCTATGTGTGGAGCGTATTATTATATGGCTGTGAAACATGGATCATTAATGTGCAAGACAAGAAGAAATTGAAAGCCATGGATATGTGGACACGGAGAAGATTTTTAAAAGTCAGCTGGCCCGAAAGGAAAAGTAACACAAAGATATAAAACCAAGTAAGGGAAAAAAGAATTCTATTAAACACCATAAAAGAAAGAAGTGGAAAAATATTTGGTCACCTACTAGTTATTATTATTACTACTTAAATATTAGGCATAAATGCATAATTCGTTTATGACAAATATATTTGAAGGACGAATAAATGGATATATAGGCAGAGGGAGACTGAGGAAGGCATATAAAGAAGAAATGACAGAACAAGCTAACTGTAATCGATATGCAGACATGAAAAGACTAGCTTTTAACAGAGAAGAATGGCGAACCAGATTTGCAACGACAAGGTAAGTAGAGAAGAAGAAGACCGGAGCGACCCCTCGCTATATTAGTCTCTATATTCTTATATTACTCAAATTTTATAGTAATATTTTTTGATATAAAATATTTGTTATTTGGATCATTTACAACTATATAAGTTTAATTTAACACTGAAACTTTGATCAATATTTGAAAACTTATTATATTCTCTGGAATCGAGGAAATTCCCGTAATTACATTCCCGGGAATTTGCACATCACTAGACTGGCCGGCTAACAAATTCTGACTTCTCCATCGTTTTTAGTATGGTTAAGAGGTTAACTATATAAGTATTTAAAAAAAAAATTGCAAAAAAAGGGTGTCCGATAAACCGATAAAGTAATAAGGTTCTCTTGGTTCCTAAGATTGTTACTAATTACTAATTAGTAATTACCTATTATGTTATGGTTATCTGCTGGCAAGTCACTAGTGGGCAATTTCTATATACATTTGAAAACCACGGTCTTATAGAGTAGGTAGGTATAGTGAATAGTGATTAGTGATTACTGATTAGTGATTACTGATTAGTGAGTAGAGCTTACACTAGAATATACTAGATAACTGGATATTAGATTATTTAGGCCTTATATAGTGAAAATTATTATTATACCTATTATATAGTGATGGCAATTATAATTAGAAATTACTTTTCTTTAGCCATATGAAAAAACGATGGCTATTAAGATTAAGAGGACGTGATACCCGCATGTGTTGTCTCAATCTTACAAGTGCGTAACATAGCAAATTGTACACTAAGCAGAACACGTGTAGCTCCGTTAATTTAAAAATTAAAGTGAATTGACCTCTTATAAAATCTAAAGGTAAGATTATTATCTAGGCAACCTCATAGGCTTTTTATTATATTTTTATTTTAACGCGAGTTATAAGTATTTTAAAATTTACAATTTTAAAATACTCATAACTCGAGACTCGCGTTAAAATTAAAATTGGTGCATTGTCGCAACAACATAGTTTCTCCACGCCACACCCCGTGTCTCTTGATATATCTTCCACTCTCTTTTTCCTAACCATCTTAGAGTCTTAAGTGTTTATTCACTCTGACCTTTGTGGCTCTGCCTGACCTTCGTCCAGCGTTATCTAGGTCTGATCTAAATATTTGCATGTGTCTAAACATCAAATATTATTTTAAGGGATGTTGGCTTAATACCAGACAATCAATTTTATCAAACCAAAAAATATACCAATAAATACTGATAAATCTATAATATGATACAATTTCGAAAATCAATAATTACCCTTTCTGAACAGAAAAGATATTATTTTGATTAATACTTCAACTATGAAAAGAGTTTATCGTACCTTTTGAAAAATAAGTTATGACTTATGGGGATGTCTTTTAAGTTCAATCAGAGTGCCCTTGCTCCTCCACCAACACATGCTTTTAGTCTTTAACCTCTAAAGCTCTAGGTATTTATTTTAATACATATTGTAAAACAACAAACTTATATTTAAGCTGTATTAAATAGATGATGAACATTTCATGTATCTACGGTTATATTTTTCTATACAAAAAATTCTATATTTTATTGAGTTATTACATAGATAACATGTTATTTAGTTATTATTCTTCTGTGTATGTGTGCACCGGGTGCCTACTCGCGTGTGTAATGTAACATTTTTACCACCTCCTCCCCAAGGCATTACTTTAGTTTTTACATTTTAACACATAGGTTTAGAGTTCCTTAACTTTCAATTTAAAAATTATATTTCTTGCTGGTATGGTTATAAATTTATAAATATTAAATACTAATACAGTCCACAAGTTACAGGCTGTGTTGTCCAACCATATTATATAATTATATAATATCGACATAATATCATCGTAATTCGTAGTAGTTAGTAGAACAATCCGCGCAGTCGTGTACTCATGCAGGTAGCAGAAATACAAGTCTCAATAAATACTATGACTATTTCATATATGTAGTTTTCACAATCGGATTACTTATAATACAAAGCAAATTTAAAAATGTAAAACAATTTAACAAATGTCTATATTTTATATAATTTTTAGTTGTTACAAAATTTTAATTTTAATTAATTTTATGTTGATTGGATATTATGATTTTGTTGAATCTAATTTAAAAAAACAATAATTTAGGAGGGGTGAGTAACATTATTGTATACAATTTCTTTTAGTGAAAAAAATACCTAGGGGAGGTCGACCCCCACCCCAAACGTGTTCCACTGTACTTAATACTTAGTTACTAGGTACTTATTAATTACTAAATACTTAGTGGGTATGTAGATATAATAGCCACTAGGTTTAGTTACCTTCCTTGAATGCTTGAACTCTTCTATATACAGGTTGTGAAGCAGACATGAATACACTTTAAATGTATATAAATAAACTATCACTTGTGTTTTAAAAAGAACCCAATGCGGCAATACCTATAAAACATACAAAACACTTGCGAAAAATAATTTCTTTAAGTTAGTAGTTTACTAACTTGAGTAGCTAGTGTAGTCTTTAACTTCGACTGTGTGTAGGAACTGCATGGGCTATGGCTAATAAAGAACTGGGCGAAGAGTCGAGTTACACAATTACACAGTTACATACTCTTTAGTCTTTTTTATGCAGTCATATTTATATCAATAATTATCAACAATCATAAATGATTCATTGTAAATACATCATGTTAATATTTAAAAATAACTATAATACTATTAATACTGTTGACATTTTTAGATTAATATTTAATACTAGGTATATATCTACTATTATTCTGTCAATTTTAAGTAATTAAAATAATGAAATGTCTGATTTGTGTTTTTAATAAATTTTGATTATCCAGTTACAATAAAATAGTAAAATTTGAGCCTATTATTACATTATGTAAAGAGTTAAGGTTAGGTTTTAGGTAAGTATTGGTGATATATTTTAATACTGGCTACCGCGTTCAATGGTCAAACGTGTGGTTCTTTATTTACTTAAATTATGTATGCTGAATTGCTGAATGATTGACAACAGGTCATCGTCGTAGAAAAGAGATTAAGTGTCATCGTCATATTATAATATTATCTTTTATCTATTCCGACATTCTTATATAACACGTGCATGATAATTCGTTTTTAAATTATTAAAATATTATATAGGTATATATTTAGATACATACCTAATGCATTGAATATGAATTTATCAATAATGATCAGTTGAAATGCTCAGATATACAGTTGTTTGGACCTTTATCCTTAATAGCCAATGGGTAAAAGCTTTGTGCATTTCCTAGCCGTTAGCCCATATTCAAACTTCAAGGCAGTGGCGGGTATAATTGATGGACGAGAGGGGGGCGGGGCGAAAAGACATTTATTATACAAAACCTCATAGAAAAATTGATAGGCTGTTTGAAATCTCTGGAGACCCTATAACCATTCCCCAATATTTTGAACTTATGTACAGAGAACACAATTAAAACAGAACAAACGTTTTGTATTGTTCAAATTCAGTATAAGAGAATAGTTGTAAAATGTACATAAAATAAATATTATGCCATAGAGAAGGGGCGAACTACCTGTCGCCCCCCTCATAACCGACCCTGCTTTAAGTATCACTCTCCGGATTGTTCGACTTGTGCGTTTAATCATTTGTTTCGAATTCGTGCGCACGAAATACACGAAATCTAAAATTTGCTATCCAAACGTTAAAATAAGGTTATTCGAGTGCATTAGGTATTAAAACCCTTCAAAAATATAGTGAACACACAAATACACATTACACGATAAGCACATTGTCCAACAAGATTTTGAAATCGTTGAAGAGCCTAAGAAATTTGGACGGTTTAATTAAACCATTCATAAAATCATAATCGTCTAGTGAACACATTAGGACTAGGTAGATTATAGTTCTACATTTTAACAACTAAATATTTAGCAAAGGTTTGTGTTAACCTCGTTCAGTGGCGGCGCAAACTTTTTGAGTCTTTGAAGCAAATTGTACATTTTTAATATTTTTACCACCAATCATTCCCCTTATTACATCAAAATGATAATTTACTATGCTGAAGCTATGAAGCAATTGCTTCAAATAGTATTATATCTTGCCACCACTGACCTCGTTATTGGGATGCGAATTATTCGCTCGTCTGGGAGATATTCGACGCCTAGGGGCTCGAACCGCGAAATCGCTCAAAAATTTGAATCGCATGGTTACGACTTACGACCATTACCCATAATCTAAGGTTACGACGTATTACCACGACGATATTACGAGACAGCACGAACTGGTAAGGCGGTTACCACGTTTCAAACATCGCTGAATGTTTACCCATGGTCTCGAATTCTCGATGTACTTAAGTATTCCTATTTCCTAGAGCGCGTCGACGCAGGTTATCCACACCGAGCGTGTGGAATACGGGACAAATGGACGATTCGAAAGCGCTCAACATCTTACATCACTGCCTCGGCGTCCGCTAAACGTTCCGACTATTCCGAGACGTCATAGCCCAAGTAGAGACAGTGTAAACCATGTTTTTTCGTCGTGGTGTGTAGACTTGTAGAGCAAGGTCTTAGAAGCTGATAGATTGAAGACCGTGGAAGAGTGTAGTAGATCTACAAATAGAGTATTGTAAATCAACTACGTCGAGCTTACATTGTCAATATTCAACAATATCGAAATGTAATGATAGTTGAATCTTCAATAATAATTTATTGATAGTATTAAAACGTAAATAGTCGATACCAAGTGTTTGACTATTTTGAGAGCACCACGACTGACCTAACGATAATCGAATACCGAGTTTCCTCCGTCGAATCGCGTAATGCGGGTAAATGAAAATAAAAACATTAAAAACATTAAAAACAGAAAAATTCTGCGTGATAACGTGATACTGCGGTATTTTATTAATATATTATCTATGGTGACTGCCGTCCCTGTTATCAGGAGGCAATCAGAGGCGCCTCCAAAAATTTTAGGTGAAAAATTTCCAAATTAAGTGAATTTTTCAAGCAGTACCGAATTATTGGCTCCCAAACTCGGTGATCGGTACGGCAGCACGGCAAACGGAGGTCGTGGCCATATCCGAGGACCGAGACTAGGCTGGACTGCTGGAGCTCCGAAGTCCGAATAACAATAATAACGTATACGGCTGCGGCACTGACTGGATGTTGGCATCGGTCTTGGCGCGCGCGTATAATCACGGCGGCGATTATTGTTGTATTTTTTTTTTTACCGTTTATATACACTTTACACTCAACACTGGGCCCGCACTTATACGTCCCGCCACCGTCGTTGGTACCGGACGGACGCGGTTATGTTTTGTTGTTTCGTTCGTACGATCTTTCGCGTTGATTTTCTCTCGCCGTTGTCGTTGCACATATTATATTTTACGTTTCGCGGGCGTCCATCACGCGTTAGAAACACGCTCGTTGCATCTATACCAACGCTAGTGGCGTAAAACAATCCGGAGATCGGCTATCTTGACCGTTGTCGTCAATACAACCCTTGCGGGCAGGTAGAAAACAGTAGACGCTGATACCAAAGCGAGAAGTCGCGGACCGGGACGACGGACCACCGAGTCACCGAGCAGCAGCTGGCCTTCCGGTCGTCGCGCGGGACCACCACCGCCACCGCCGCGTCTGCATCAGCGGCAGTTGCATCCGAAGCCGAACCGACAATCAACGGTTGCGTTTCACCGCCGAGTGCGACTTGATTATTTTTCCGCCGCCGCCGTCGTCATGCCATTGCTCCACAGAAAACCGTTCTCCAAGAACCCCGTGCCCAGGGGTCTGAGGGACACGGACGAGGTGTTCTACTGCGAGCTGACCAAAGAAATTTTCCTCAGTTACGAGTGAGTCGATCTGGGTTTACCAAGGTTTACTTTTCCCGTTTACTGTGTACTATACCACCTTGTCATTACGCGCGTTTCACATGGCGCCCCGCGCCCGATCGATTCTCGTGCGGCGCCCACGTTTAGAGACCGACGAGTCCGGTCCGCCCGCGTCTATTTTTTCGGTCCGTTTCCGTTCGATCCGCGGTTTGGGTTTCTTCTCGAAGTTCGAACACTCACCTGCGTCCACCGTATAGTTAACGGATCACTTTCACCGCGCTTTTTCCCGCGACCGTATTTCAATAAGTTTTTTTTTCAATTATTCGAGGTTAATCATCCTCCGATTTTGGCGTCCTAGAGGCGAGTGAGATGAAACATTCTTCGTTGTTTCAGACAACGACCAATTTTCGAAAATGCGTTTTACAGCACACACATTTCGAACGACCTTTCCCTCTTGTTAACCTAACAACAGTACCTATTATTGTGTTGAAGGATCGTGATTAAAGTTGCTGTCAGATTTCCAAAATTAGCCCTTATTTTAATATATTGCTTTAATATCTATCAAATGCATTAAATCTAAACCATTAAACACTAACTATGCATACTATTGAACATTTTTAATGTATATGTATTACACAATACCTGTTTCATAAATTTACTTGAAAAATGGCCTAACTTTCATAAGTTTAATTTTTAAGTTCCCAAAATTTTCTGTATGTTTTGCAATTGATAAGTCAGTTACTTTTCTTTGTTAAAATTTTAGTTTATTTCATCTAGAATTCTTATTGCTATTGACTTATTTAACATTGAATTCATCTGAAGTGGTGTTTGAATGAAACAAAATGTATTAACTGTTTTTTTTTTATCTATGCAGGCATTATGTAGAAAGAATTATTTTGTGCAATTCATTAGTGTGGTCATGTGAGCTTACTGGTAAAAAAAATATGACCTATAAAGAAGCCTTGGATTGTGAATTAGACTCAAAAAAAATGTTAAATGACTTTCCAAATGAGGTAATATTATAAGTGCTAAATTTCATAGATTGTTTCATAGTTTTTTTGTTTGTCTAACATTAATTATAACTATATTTTAATTTTTAGCTTCAAAAACCAATTTTGTATTTATTATCACTGACAAAATGTTCTTCTTTGAAAGAACTCATTGAACAAATATTTAATTACGTAAGATATAGATATTTTGTATCAGAAATAGTGGATGTTGCTTTAGAACAAGATCAATGGTAAGCATTGTTTGAAACAGTAGTATATTGTAGTAAAATGTATTAATTTTTAAGAACAACTAGTGATATTTTGTTTAATTCCGTTTATGTTTTAAGGTTAAAATGTAGAGTTCTAGCTGTGCATGCACCATCTGACCAAAAAATTGCTGAAAGAAATCACCATACACCAAAGTAATTACTTAAGTTTTTGAATAAATACATCTTGAGAATTTAAATTGATATAAGTATTCTTATTCCATAGAAAATCAAATGATAGTAATTCAAATACAGCTCTTGCATCTTATAGTTATGATGTAGAACTACTCAGTCCTAAAAAAAAACAAAATCCAAACATTGAACCTATATATAGGGTTGATGGCGTTCAAATTCGAAGATCAAAAGCTTGTTTTACGAGAGATCGATGTAGATTTTTTATAACTCACAATGTTGAGTTTAAAAATGGTTTGATTTCACTAAAGGTAATTTTAAATTCTTGAATAATTTAAAAATAATAATATTTGTGTTATTAATAAAAAAAAATAAGAATTTAAATACAGGGAACTTTTATGTATTTTTTAAAATATTAAAACTTGATGTTTTAAGTTTTAATATTTTTGAAATATTACATTTGTAATGTTATAATTTTCTTAAATAGAGTATTATGTTCTTTTCTCTCTCTTCAACTAACCTTATTATTATAAGGTATTATAATATATTATAATTTTTATTATATTCCATTTTTTTTATTCTGTTAAGAATAAATATTTATAATTACACAATTGATTGGATATTAACCTCGCTGATATCAAGTGTAATTTTATGTTGTGAAATTAATATTATTTTAGGATAATGTAGCAAGTAGTATTGCCAACTTAAAATTTGAAGACATATTCAGTGGAGAATCTCCTCAATTTTCTGAAACTAAAAAGAACAAAGTATTAGCCAAAAATGGATTAACTAAAAAATGTAATAAGTTAATGAATGGAGGAGAACCATCCAAAAAAGATGAAAAAACAATGCTAGAAACAGTTGAAAAATTAAAAGAAGAAAAATTGAAAATTAAAGAAAAGAGAAAGGAAGAAAAAGAAAAACTATCCAAATTTATGAAAGAATGGAACAAGAAAAAAGAAGATCTTGAATTGGAAGATTTAAAGGTAAGTTCAACTTTTTATTTTATGAATTTACATTTAAGATGACGACACATGGACATTAGTAGTCTCCGTTTTACAAATGTACAACATTGCATATTTTACTTTCACAATAATACATTTTATTCTGTAATTTATAAAATTAAAGTGAATTTACCACTCCTAAAAGGCAAGAATATTATCTATGGTATTTCGGATGATTTTATTTATATTATTATTAAGATGTACAATTTACAAATAATCAAAACTTACTTAAAAAAGTAATAATAACATTAAAATTCTCTGAGATACCCTAGGTAATATTCTCATCTTTAAATTTATAACAGGTAAATTCGCTCTAATTTTAAAAGTTACTGAGTAAAATGCATTATCGTGAATCCATCGTGAACATACAATTTGTCATGTACATTTGTAATACGAAGACTACAAATGCCAGTGTTTCGTCTTTTAACAAAGTTAGTTCATTTATGATTACTATTTGGAGTTATAGGCTTAGAAATTATGTTTGTATCATAATTACAACATTTTATTTTAATATAACATTTTAACAAGTCAAAGTGGGTATTCTTCAAATCCATAGAAATAATTATATTTTTTATTTTGGATTGTAAAATAATAAATGCCCATAATGGGCCCAGTACAGTTAATACAATTAAATATACCACTTCATTATATATTATTTTACTTAGCTTGTTATAATATTTTCATACAAATTTGAATAGATTTGTCTATATTCTATAAAACTATTCACTTGTAAGATATTATTTATCTTTTTGGTACCAAGCATTGAATGAGAATTGGTTTTACGATGGTATATGATTTTTCTTTTTCATGTCGTTTTAGAAAACTGTCCTAGGAAATGTCCTAAGACATTCTAGGGATTCTACATAAGTACAGTAGTTTTTTGATACATTCATTAGTTACATATTTTATTTTTGTATATGGGGAAAAAGTTTAAGGAAACACAAAGTCTGACTGTTGACTTGGTAAATCAAATTCTGGGTTTTTGATAAAAATGATTAATATTGTAATACATTATTGAGCTCATACATTTTACCAAGTATTTACCATTGTTTGTTTTCATATAATGCAATATTTATGTGTTAGATCTACGTGCTATACTTGTGTTAATATGGTGTGTTTTATATTTATTCTTATATTCTGTGCTACTTAAATGTATAATATTGTATCTAATATCAATATGATTTATTTTTAGGAACTGCCTAATGTCAATCCCGTTAATTTGCGAGTTCCAAATGAACATTTTGGGGACTTTGTTATGATCTATGAGTTTTTCCATAACTTTTGGTCTCAACTTGATGCAGGCAGTTATTTCCCACAAGGAATGAATATAGAATTATTAGAAAGATGTCTAATAGAAGAGGAAATAACAGGTACAGAATATTACAAGTCTGAATCTTATAATACATTTGAGTATAGTAGGTATAATAAAATGATTAATTTTGATTTCTTAGGTCCTTTAAATACTTTGGTTCAGGTATTATTAACAACAATATTTGACCTTGAAGAAGATGAAGAAGCGGATATGAAAGATAGTCATATTTCAGGTTTAGCTTTTATTTCAATGATTATTTTCAATTATATTAAATTATATTTTTATAATAAAAAAAATTAATGTAGGATGTGAGCCAGTTTATAATATTAGTGATAATAAAACAAAAACTGCAGTCAAATTAGCAACCGATGTTAGAAATTGGTCAATACAGCATTTGGGCCAACAATTGAATAAAATAACATTACAACCAACTGTAATTTCGGAAGTTTTGAGAATTCACATACTGTCATCTGGTGGAAAATATTCTGATAGAATGACGAAGTGGATGTAAGTTATTTATCAGTAATAATTAATTAAATTCATTAAAGTTATTACAAGTTATGTATTTTTAAGATACCACGAAAGAGGAAACTATTGTCCTACGGATGATCCTGGACTTACTA